CGTCTGCAGAGTGCTTTTTGCTGTATTGAAGTATGTAGAGGGTTAGCACATGTAGACATGTGGATGCAAACCTGGGGTTGGATGTAACTGGAAGTGACTTAAATGTCCTGCTTATGTACCTTTTTTTCCAGTCAGAGCAAAACGCAATTAGGAGCAGGGAAGGAGACACGAGTAGGGTGAACGCTGGAGGTAACTTTGGCATCTGGCATATGTAAAATTAAATTATGGGCAGCTTCTTACAAACTGCCAGTAAGCAAGCTATGCTTTCTTTAACACAGAAAAATGCGGGTGTTAAAATCCACCTGAGCAAGGGGAGTCTTGGCTGGGCTCAGTTGGTGTGGCAGCTTTGGTGGTAAGGCCGTGAATTCAGTTGTTGACCATTTGGAAAGCTGCAATCTGAAAACCGTGCTTTTGCTTCTTCCTGACAACTACCCCTCTGTATCACAGAGCACAGGGGCACTCTGAGGCAGCAATAAAATAGAGCAAATGAGGGGCACTGCATGGTGCAATTACCAGTTTTGGCAGGTTTGAATAAGAGACTTCTTCCCCTCAGCCTTGCACTGAGGTTGTTCCAAAAGGCAAAGCTCAGATCGCTGCTCCTACCCTTGCTCGCTCTCGAATCTTCCGAAAGCAAACCTGATCCTGCTGTCTGCTTGACAAGTTCCCTGTCGCCCACTCCAGAATAAAACTGATTTTCACATCCCAGCTGGGGCTTGGTTTGTTCATGTCCCTTTTTTCTGCGCCCCGAGATGATAGCGGATGGGTGGGTGCTTGCTTTATTAGCTTTTTTTTTTTCCTCTCCTTAAAAACACAAAGTATCCTGCATTTGAAGATCATGGAGCTACTTTCCAACTCATTACCCAAATGCCACAGAAAAAGCTGGTAAATTAAGATCTTTATTTAAAAACAAAAACCAGTGAGTTACTTAGGAACAGCAGCTATTTTGGTTGTAAAGAAAAGGTGTGTAGTGAGGAGAGGGGAGAGGACTGAGTGTTTGCTTTGGAGCTTTTGAAATGGAAAGACTCCTCCTTGTTGTGGCACAGTAGCATCCTAAACCCAGTACTCTATGAAACAGGGCAAAGATGAACCAGGTGCAGAAAGAACAGTCTCCTGTGAAAAGCAAAAAGTCCCTATCGAAGACTGAGGCAAAAAATAGAAAGTGCTTATAGCCATTGGAATGGAGAGTTAACGTGGCTGACAGTGTGTGCCCTGAGACTGGATAAAGATTCAAACAGGTGGGGATTGCAATGCAGAATAAGTCGGTGATAGTTTTCTTCCTTTGGCTATGCCAGCCAAGTGTGCAAAACTGTTCTTTGTAGGAACACCACTATGTATAAGAGCTTTCTTCTAGCCTTTACCAGTCTTGTAACCCAGGCAGAAGTCACCCTTCAGGGAACCTTGGAGAGTCCCGCCCTGCAAAAGTATAAATTGTAAATTCAGTCTGACATCTTTAGTTTCAAAAGGGAAAACAAAATGAAAGGGAAGCAGGTTCTTGCCATGAAAGACATGAGAAGAGGACTTGAGGTACAGATTGAGACATCAATTGCAAGTCTTTTGAATCCTAAGCCTCCCTGATCTCAGGGCGTGCATTGCCAAGTCCTGGCTGGTGCCGCGGGAAGCTGCGAGGCAGAGGAGAGCGACTCCAAGTAACTCGCTGGAACCATGTTATTGAGCGTTGGGCTGTCTGACTTGAACATTGCAATTGCTACATGAAACAAAGCACCGATAAAAATAGTGTATTTTCTTGCCATGCTTCATTTCCTTCTGGATAGTCTCAAAATGTCCCCGTTTGATTCTTTTCTTTGTACGACTTCAGTGAGTCATTGTGATCACAGTGCTCTGGCAGCGTTTTGAAAAGCTGTGAAATACAGAATATTTCCCTGAAATTGCCAAATGTTTTACATGGAAGCGGCTACATTTCAGGTAGCCTGGCCATGTTCTTCCTTTTTTTTGAACTATATATATATACACACTTCATGAAGGAGTTACTCATATTTTAAATTAATTGCCCAGTGCTTCATGTTTTTGGAGAAGCAACAGTGTACTTTAATTAGTCCCTTCCCCCTCCCCACTAAGTGTTTATTTTTAGATAATAAAGGAATTGCAGTCCTGCTACATGCACAGACTATTTAAGATCCAACATCCCTGTCCTCTTCCTGTGTCTCTCGAAGCATCTGTTGGAAAATAAATCGGTCCCTCTGTACTGGATACCAGGTATCATGTAAGAGCATATTTACTCGAATAGAGAATTTGCAGGGTTTTGTCAGCAATCCCTGGGACATTACCCCAGGCAGACGTGTGAGACGCATCCAGGATAACTTGCCTACATAAATGCTAAGCTGTACATATTTGGCAGAGTGAAGGGCCTGATCACCCCTGCTAAAATGGAATGCTGGAACTGCTTTGCACATGGAGATAGAGTATGTGCTACAGAAAAGGACTGTTGAGCTGCATCTGCTGTCTTGAATTTCTTCCTGAGCGCACACATACCTGCGTGGGTTTCCCAAGCTCTAGTTTTGCCTTTAGTTCCACAGTGACACTCCATAGCCTTCGATTTCCCCACCAGGCTGTCCTCATCTCCAGCGCTACTGGCTGCTTTCCAAATGCAAGACATGCCTGCTTGTAAGGGAGATCTCACATGCTAATTTTGCATTTTTTTTAAAGTACGTTTTTAATTTTTTTAATTTTGGCCATTTTTTTTAAAGTACGTTTGCCTCGGCCATGCGTTTTTGCTGTTGCAATGTACAAAAAAAAAATCCCTTTTTTCAGTTGGACAAGCTGCCTGTTGGGAGGACGATGGTGCAGCTTGTGCCTCCTGCATTTGGATTTGGTGACGATGCCGTGTTTGAGTTTCTTGAGCGCTTGCAGAGCCCTCTATCTATGACAGCTCTTCCATTACGTGTGAAGAGTTGCTTGATGTCGGCATCTGGGGTTGGACATGCGCTGTTGACAAAGATTAATTGTTCAGACAGCTGCTGCTGTCCAGACATATCACACAGGTACGTAGGCCATATGTTCCTTCAGCGTTAATGCTGACCTGTCTCAGTGCTTAAAGGATGTTTTCATATCTGATATTAGCCAAGATAGCTAGAAGAGAGCAGGGGAAAATGTTCTGATCCTTGGTATCACCATCTTCTCTGTCTCAGTAGTTACGGTTACTGGCAGGATAAAAGCTGAGAGCAGAATTCTGGAGCATTTTCCGTTTTACCCTTTTTGTTTCTAGGACGCTTATTATTTGGATTCACCTTCATGAAACTTTGGATATCTAGATTTTGATTGATAGGTGGGTAATTCATTGCATCAGTCAGACTGGGGCAAGAAATGGTGATGGCTAGACTTAAGAAGCAAGACTCTTGAGCAGAGGACAGGTTTCCCTTTCTAAAACCTCTATTCCTGTTTGATTTTAAATTTTTAAACATCATTTTCTTGGTGTTGTAGGGCTTTTTTCAGGGCTTTTAGGACTTGAGAACCATGGTCTTAATGGGCAGCGTGACTGGCAGCAGGTCCCTCTCTGAAGGGACATCCTGATTACTGCAGCTACCTACAGCAAAGGTGTGACTTCAGTGTCTGGTTTGAGGAAGGGGAAGCAGCAGAGGGCCCCGCGTTCTTCGTGAAGGATGGGGACGCTGTCGTCATTGCCAGAGTTCAAAGGCGTGTTTCATCCCCCCGGGTCTCCTGAACAGATTGCAGCTCACACCAAATTGTTTCTCGCATTTGTCTGTGTTATCAAACCCATCGAGCTCATTTTGATTTGTGACCCAGACTTGCAGCCTCCATCTCCAGAGGCAGGATGGTAGTGTGGAGAGCAGTATAGCTTTTCTGTGGATTTTCCCCAGTCACTGCTAATTTCCAGCATCCCTCGGGTGAATCAGCCTCCTTCTCCTGCCTGATTCATTGAGTGCCATCGTGGTATGTTTGACATCACCATCATTTCCATGTTTAGTGAGTTATATATTTTTTTAAACACTTTCAAATGAAGTGGGTAGAGAAAGTAGATTTTGGAAAACCAGGAACATCTGGTGCTTGAATGTTTTGTTCAGCAACTCTGTGAAATTAATATGGTCCTAAAGTGGAGAAGAAAAATTACACGTTGAACTTCCAAGTTAATTAGCTCTAACTCTCAGGTACTTGAAAACAAGGTCAGGATTGTCATGTTGGTCTGACTGCGGACGGTTTCTCACGCCTGGCATGTTTCCAGGTCATTCTGCTGGAGCATAGTGCAGCAAGAATAGGAACAGGCTTTTGAGATTGCTTTCTTCCCACAGCCAAAGAGGCTTTTTGGTCAGTTAGTTAGCACAGCATAAACTTTGTTACCTAGCAGTATGTGTAGTGTTTGTTCTGCTCAGAAAAACAAGGATCTGGAGTAAATTATAGTCTTAGGGTTTGAAGTAAATTAGCAGGGGGGTGGTCAGGAGGAGCATCAAATAGTGTCCTCTCCTCCTGTTCCGTGGCTGATAGAGCTCTTCCACAGCCATAATTGAAATATTAAGGTACTGTAACAATTACTGGCGAGGTACAGAGTAAAGCTTTAAGGAAAAGAAGAGAAATACAATATTTATCTTTAACTTTGTATTTGCATATTGTTTCTACTTCAGACTGTGTAAGATTAATCCTTTTTTGACCTTTTTTCTCAGGTTCTGGTGAGTAGCTTAGGAAATGCAGCCTCCAGTGTACTAAATGTCATCCTGTCTAAAATATTTAACAACACAACTTGCACTTAGAAAGCAACACCTTTTTAACATGAGTTGTTAAAGAAAGGTGAAGCTAGCTCGTGTGAATACTTGCCAAGTGTTTTTACGTGTAATAACTAACCATAATAAATGTGGAAGCAGGTGTGAGTTGGATGTGAGCACAACAGAATAAATGCTTTTGTGTTTAAGCATAAAGTTCCCAAAAACTTACTAAACTGGCTTTGTTTGCTGTTGAGTTCATTGGATAAACATATGGAAAGTAATTGTCTCATTATGGGTATGTTCTAAAAATCCAGAGGTGTTTTACAGGTCATTAACGCTGCACTGGCTCTGGCTGCTAAACCCCAAAGCAAGCTGGCTCAAGAAAACATGGATCTCTTCAAAGAGCAGTGGGAGAAGCAAGTCCGTGTGCTGACAGATGCTGTTGATGACATCACTTCCATTGATGACTTCTTGGCTGTATCAGGTAATCAGGGGTTCGACATCAGAAATAATCATTCTCGTAACTCAGCTTATTCCTGGAAACGGGTGGTTTCTGCACGTGTTCTGGAGTCTTCTCAGGTTTTTGGAAGGGATGCTGTTGTTATGCTTCACCTGGCAAGCGTCGTTTTCTGCCGAGCGAGGTGTGAAAATAGAGCAGGAGATCTTGGCATAAGAAGAGGTATTTTTATAGTGTGAAAACAGCGAGTTTAGTTCAGCAG